TATCAATTGTAAACATCGATTTCTGACATCCTGCCACTATAATTCGGTTGGTTTGGGCTGTGAAGCTCATGCAGCGGAGATCGGTCATTTCTTCGTGAGCGATATGCCATTGTGTCAAGCCGCGCCGTGTTATCATGTGCACACTTTTCGGGGAAAGCGATATGACGCCTCTATCGTGAAAAATAATCTGCCGTACCGGCTCCGTCGCAGGATGTGCCCTGACAGAGGTATATCGCTGGAGCTCAGGACCGAAGAAGGAGGTGATTCGTCCCTAATGGAGTACACGAACGCTGGTCAGCACAGCCTTCGGTGATAGCTGCAAACAACTGAGAAACCGACAAACTCATTTCCCACCCACAACAACTCCATCACATCATCAAAAGCTATTGCGGTTGCGATTGTCGGCAGGGCATGCACGCTCGGTGCAGGCACCGGAATGCGCGACAGTTCATCCCAATCGGCCTCCATGACCTTGACATCGCACCCGGCAAGGGTGTCGAGCTCAAGATAGGTACAGTATTCGGATTATCGCGGTGTCAAGAAGTTTCAGGCAAAGCGTTGGGTGTGTCCATTGGGGGTCAGGGCGAAAGCGGGCATCGTTCGGCGAAAGCGCGAGTGCGGGGAGCAGGTCTGGCTGGGAAAAGGCGTGGTCTTCAAACTCCAGACCACCGAGCACAGGGGTGAGATTTCACAAGCTGGCACCCGCAAAGACAGTCCCAGGCTCTCGGGCTCTCGTTTCTGGGAGCAACAGCAGACGAGACAAATGGTCTCTGGGGAAGGGGTACCTTTTAGTCAGAGCTGCCGGCAATGGCTGATGAGGTACCGACGCATAATCTCACGTGACTTCAGCCCGAGCGGGACAAACATCCAGCACATCACGCCGTTTCTTCGTCACCGCCTACTGCATAACTACGTACTATGATTGCGATCCTCATACACATGATGTAGTTCTTGCTTTAGCCGTGTTGTCTTCTTATTTATTTTTATTTATTTTTTTCCTACAGTTCTCGCTGTCTTTAATTAGATTCAATCAGTTTCTAGGAATGTGACAGTAGTCAGGATTATGCTCTTCCTTCAAAAAGCGAAGTACCTGTATAGCTAACATTTGATATATAGTGGCTCGACCGGGCCAGATGATAGCAAATGATACAGATCGCCGAGTTGAAGTGAAAGTGCTAAGTAGTAGTATGAACACTTACAAGACGAATGAAAAAGAAGAATCATATAACACTCGTCAGACTACTAACCAGTTGACCCAACTCTATCAGAGAGACATGAATCTGCTCGTTCCTTTACCTACCGCAAGTGCTCAGGACTCCAGTAGGGTAGTAAGTATTGGAATCGCCATGATAACAAAAAGGTCCACTAACTATAACTACTTGCCAAGCCTGTAACCAAACCGCTGTCTAAACCTCATCCCCATACCTCCTCATCTTGACTACACACCCTTCTCCGCATGAAAGAACCAATGTAAGAACCTGCCTCTCCTCGCCGACTCTCTTCTCCATCCTATACCCCTCCGCCTGTTCGATAGCTTCAAAAGTCTGCAGCAATCGCACGATAGTGTATCCAACCTCCAGCAAAGCAAATTCCTGTCCCAAGCAAACTCTTGGTCCACCGTTAAACGGCAAATACCCCCAGCCTACATCCTTCAGCGCATCGTTCTCCCACCGCTCGGGTCGAAATTCGTCTGCGTCGGCGCCGTAGATATCCCTGCGGCGGTGCATCGCGTAGACACAGTATCCTACAGCCTCGCCTTTTTGGACGAGGATTGGTGCGGTGCCCGTTGGTCCGCCCCCTGTGGGGAGGGTTGTGGTTTTGGTAGCGGCGCGCGAGTTTACAGGGACGGAGGGGTAGAGGCGAAGGACTGGGATGTTAATGAAATCAGGGTATTGCGAATGATATTTTGGGGTAGTTTGAGATTGAAATACCTTCTTTGATGACGAGTGAGAGATACTGAAGTGATTTGAACTGAGTTATAGTAGGTGTCGGCGACCTGAGTCCCACCCCAACTGTATCACTGATCTCGGCCCGCAACTTGAAAAAGACGTGGGGATGCTGGACAAGTAGACGTCTGGATTTGTGTCAAGAGTCAGCTTTGCCCAGAAACAAACATCGGTACATTGGCCCTTTACATTGTCCAAGTGAGGCAACAAGCCGTAGTATCCCTCCCAGCTAACAGGATATTCAGGCACTGATCCCGAAGTACTTTCGCGTTCCGCGTTTCCTCGATCAAGGCATGAATGAAGATGTAAGGCTCTGTCTTGGTGCCCCGAGACTTGTTCGTGGCTTTTGAGGCCAAGACCTTTTGTACAGCACGATCCACAAATCCATGGCAAATCTTACATGCTTTCCGAAATTCTCTCCCGCCTAGAAGCCAGTAGAAGTCACCTAATCGTCCGCGCTTTGCCAAATACTCCTGTCCAAGATTGAAAGCGTTTGCAAAGTCCGATTCCTGGCCTGTGATACCCTCTAATTGGAGAGATGGCAGGTGTTTTCCAATCAGTAGAAAGAGGGTAGCCTCGAAAGTAAGGCGAAAGAATAGCGGCTGTAGATCGACGCCGTTGTCGTCAGGAATGCTGGAGATGAGGCTGTCTACGGCGCTGCGTATTTGTTCAAAATTGGTGAACCGGTTCGTCATGAATTGTGGACGTAGCAGCTCGCGTGAGTGCCGCCAATGTGCGCCATCCTGAGTGAAGATTCCACTCCCCAACAAAGGCAAGAATGTTGGGGGTCGTAGTCCGAGTCCAAAGTCTGGAAGTATTGTTCGTCAGTAGTAGCAAGAGCGTCCGAGGTACCGCACTGACCATCAAATTGGGTCGAAAGAAGGGCCTGTATGTTCTGAGGGTCGATAGTATCAACTCCTCGAGAGAAAAGGAGATTTTGCTCGAACGTTGTGCCAGACTTAGCAACGACATCAAGGAAGAACTTGAGAATCTGCTGCCTACGGTCATAACGAAATGCTTGAACAAGTAGATCTAGGCCCAGCGGCCAGGTCGAGTTCCATTGTCTGAGTGGCAGACATCCATTTGCGGCGGCGGTTCGGTTGTTAGCCTACAATACAGGTTAGATGGCAGGAAATCCAATGCTGACAGCGACTCATACTCGCAGTTCTCGTTGCAGAGTAATGAACCTGTAGGCAAGCGCGCATATCAACATTCCCACAATGAGGATGTGAGCCGTTGCGCTGAAAAATGCCATGTGGCTTGCTTGGATGCAATTCAGATGAAATTGAAGGATCCCAAAATCAAGTACCGGATATTCAAGCTCTAAAGTACTCATATATGACCCTCCCCACCTACGCTGTCGTTGCATCTGTCAGATGATTCAGGGGCAGGGCGCGTACGCCTAGGCATTTCAGGTTGCACAAATTCGAACTCACGAGATGATGACTCCTGGCAGCGCCACCATAGGGGAGAGAAGTGGGGTAGATGGTTGTCTAGACATGAAGTCCAAATATACTTTCATTGTTCATTTTCGAAGGCCGCGGCCCGCCTGCCTTATTACTGTGTTTACACACAACGTCAGTGGCTGGCTTTGACATGTCGAGAATGTGGTACGCGCTTGGGGGATTTACGGGAAAAGAACTATGCGAGCCTTTGGCCATGGTGCAACAAGTGCTCTACACTCAAAGGGAAAAGTTAGGTAAATAACACCGATACACGCTTATACCCCTAGCGAGCTTAGGATGGATCAGAAACGTTCTTGGTCAACACACTCCGAGGCAGAAACCATCCTACGCAGGGTTCGATTGCAGATTGCATCCTCCGTGGCGGCCACATAGGGACCCTTAAGGGAAAGGTTTCACTAAACAATCCATACCAACTAATCTAAATTGCCAAGGCTGATTTAACACTCCTTGATGCGATGGAAAGGCTATGGCGTCTTCCTTATTCTAGGGCAGACCTTCATCCGCACTAGCTGGGCGCGTTGATTGAGCTTGCGAGACGCTATAAGCTTCTGGGAAGGTTTGATGAGAACATTCGGTACTGCAACGAGGCTATGGAGGGGTTGTAAAAGACCAGTGTGACACAGCATCTGCTGGAAAGAAAGCTGCGGGAACAGACAATCTTGATGGGAGAATGGGAGTCAACTGTTGCATCCAACAAATGAAACTTTTGCACTTTCCTGGCAGTTCTCCTAGTATCCCAGGGATGAGCACGATGCGCCTTTCATGTGGTACGCTGCTAATCTTATCCCGTACTCAACCAACGTGTACGCTTCATTCACATAGATCACATCTGGTATCTTTAGTACGCTTCTCCAGCTCACAATCTTGAAGATTTAGCGAAATCTGGTCTCTTCCCCTAGTCATTTGGAAGGTTCCGCTAGCGGCTGCAGTAATCAATGTCGGCTGGCACCAGCAGTGTCCTGTGCATGAAGTCCGAGGTCAACCTGGTTAATACCGGAGATAAGCAATATGAGAAGAGGCGAGTCTAATCTCAAAATAGCCGTATAGTCCTCGAGTATAGCCCGGGCTTTAGGACCCACTGCTAGGCTTGCTCAGCTCCGCGCCACAGCCCCTAACAGTATGCACCTTCCTGAGTGCCACGAGCACATTGGCTTCAGCGCCAATCCAGTAGCACGTGTTCCTATACAGAAGGATATGACAGACGTTGGTATTGATCATACGATAGGCAGTTCCATGGTTGTTACATGCCTAAAATCACATATAGTCCGTATTTACAAATCGCCGAGGAAAGGTGTTCCTCACTGAGGTCAAGCTCTGAAAGGGAAAGCTTGGTAAATTGATTGCCCCCGCCACTAAAAGGCAAAGTGGAAACGCTTTTGTGCTTTGAAACTACCCGGACCATATCTTATGAAAAGCCACTCCTGGCATACTAGTTCGTTCTGACTGTGCCCTTCGGTGGTCCGGCGCCTGTTGTCGGAGAACATGGCGCCGTAGGGACCGCTCCACCATCTTCAGGGACGGTATAATGGTACATGGTAACCTGGTCACGAATATTCTATTCCACATTCCCCATTCATATAGAAGCAGAATGCGCGTGCCTGGGACTATGCAAGCTGTCCTCCTGGCCTTCATTGTTGAAGTCGCGGCCAAGGAAGATCCAGACTATAAGCCATCCCTCAACTTTCGACCCAACAATGTGACCCTCAGCATCCTAGACAACTGGGTGGGATCGTAAGTTGTTGGATGACACTTAGATGTCGCATCGATGCTGACTGCGCAGATACTATAACGGTACCACAAACGTGGAATTGTCGTTTTACACTGGGCTGGGTTCGAATTGGAGTTTTCATTGCCCCAATCTCGTCAACACAACGGTTACCAAACGGTATGATTCTACCGTGCTGGCCCTTACAGAGCCCAACACCTACAATGTTGGCTATGACCCAGTGAATGCTTTCTTCACCATGTGGCCCAACAACTTCAATTTCTCCACATTACCTGGTCCAAGCTGGGATGGATTACAAGAAGACGCATCGTTGAAGTTCGCTGTGTTTTTGTCGGAGTGAGTGATCCCACCCGAATCAGAAGAATCAGACTTCCCCTGCCGAAATCACTCTATCACAGCTGGAGTTACTCACTCCGGGGGATACGGATAGTCTTCTGGATACCGCCCTAACTCTACCTCTCAGTAATGCCTTGCCCATTCTCCAAGTGATCATCTTGCACAACCGAAGAAAGGAAGAACACTGGGTCAAAGAATCCATTCTAGGGCCTAGGGATCAATTTTCCAGACGCCTCCTGCCCTGGCTGAAACAGCTCTTCTGTGCCATTGCACCAGAGAACGGGGCGATCATGACGGACGAGCTGCAAGCCTCCACACTGTTACAGTTGCTGGAAGTGCTCCCTGACGAGGCTCTCGTTGATCTTCTAGCTAGCCATTGTCCAGATTGCCAGCTGCACGACCGCTGGAACCACAATATTCTCTACGCGTTGGCGCATCGACCCACGGCACAAGCGTTGCAACTACTCAAGGCCCGCAACCTTCTACCGCAATTGGACCTGAATGCAACCGATGACTACGGCTGGGGCCCCCCTGCACGTTGCGGCCACCCGCGGTTACAACGAGGTCGTGATCTTTCTTCTCGTGCACGGTGCCGACCCCCAGCGGCGAAACGACCGATCAGAGACCCCAGCCAAGCTCGCCGAGATGAGCGGCGCCACCCCGACCATCGCAATCCTCGACCGTTGGGAGAACAGCCCTATCGGGGTTCTTCATCGGGCCTTCATGGAACAGCACGCAACAGCTCTGCAGACCCACCCGGGGATGGAGTGGGAGTGGGCATTGCAGCTCTCAGTCTGGCGAGCATTGGATAACCTATACGCAAAGGCAGAGGATGCCGGGGAGCCCATCTCGTCTGTCACTCTAGACTCGGTGGCCAGAGGCATCCGAGTTACTTCTCCATCTTCCTTTCCCGACGACTACTCATACTACATGAGGCCACGACAGATGTGGATCAGACAATAATATCTATTTTTATATCAGAATCTAACCCAGGGTCCCCCAAATCAATTACTCCGTCCAGAGTATAGTTCACTGGTAAGACTTTTCTCTTAACTCACAGCACACGGGAATCTATTCGTCTATGCTATGTTTGTCCTGATGAAGGTGATAATTCAGAGAATCATCCCGGGGGCTATCCACCCAAGGGAGGGGAGCCATATACACCCTGCTACATGCGATAGAACCTCATGCTAAACTAAGGGAGCATAAAGCAATTACTTTATAAATAGATTTGTGCCCTCGGCGCCGCAGGCCTGCGTGGTTGGCCGCTGGCGAAACACATAATATTGATGTCACAAGCATGCCATTTCTACTTTCTGCCCATATATGTAGCACACGTATATTTATATCTCCCATGATTTGGGATTTTGGAAGTACGATCAACATATTGAATATCAAAAGAATTAGTAACGAAGGGACAAGCGCCAGGGAGCCTCTGAAACCCGTCGAATGATGACAATATGATCTTCAACGACCAAGCACCGGAGACTTGGCCCTTAGATATTATGAAAATAATGTACGTATCATCATACTTTCGCCCAAATCTTCCCCTTGGACAGGTAAAGGCGAGCCAGAGCATAGAACAACGTCCCGCCCGCAAGCATCACACCGGTGAAGACCTGCAACTTCCAGTACTCGCCATCCGCCGCCGCAATCAAGGAACCACCGATAGGGCTGCCTACAAGGGCCGAGATTGACATGAAAGCATACAGCGCTCCTGACCGTGTGCCAATCTCATGGATATTGGAGATCTGGGCGACCAAGGCTGGGCTGAGTGCCGTGTATGTGCCCGAGCTGAATCCAAACGCTGCAGCGAACACGATGGCCGTTGCGTTGGAGTGGCCGGGGAGCCATAGCCCGAGGACGAAGATTGTCGACAGGCCCGCTGCGCAGATTGAGATGTTGAAGTTGCCGAGTTTGTCTGCGGCGTAACCTGGTAGGATTCGGCCGATGCCACTGAAGCGTTGGTCAGCATGCCCGTTTTTTTTTTTTTTTTTATAATGACCGAGCTCGAGTTTACTTTCAGAGTTGACATCTTACCTTGCAGCATTGAATGTCGAGACTAGATACCCGGCGAGACCCGTACTCATCCCCACATGCTCGCCGTATGTGACCATGTAGGTAATAGGAATAAACATCCCCATCGAATATAAGAAGCTCGCCAGTGTCACCAGGACGAAGGGCACATCAGTAAACCCCTTGAAGTAACTAGTCAAAGTCAAAGCCGTGGGCTTCGGCCGCAAACGCGAGCGAACAGTCAAATTCGTCACGGCCAGCAATCCCAGCATCAAGAAGGCGCATATACGCATCGCCCAACCAAAACCATGTCGCGTGATGATGTGATCAACCAAGATCGGCATGATAACGCCACCTAGGCTTGAGCCGCTCGCGGTAATGCCCATTGCTAGAGCGCGCTTTTGGCGAAACCAGGTCGCCACGCAATTGAACGAGGAGTAGAGAACCATGCTTGCGCCAAGGGGGCTGCAGATCGATTGGGAAAGAATGAACTGGTAGTATTGTGAGGACAGCGAAGCCATCATTAGTCCGAATACGTGTAGCAGGGATCCTGTGAGGAGAAGCCATCGGGGTCCGTATGCATCAAATAGCCGGCCAACAAAGGGGCCCTAGGGGGTGATTAGATGAGTCAGTTTGGAAATTTCTCAGTTATATTCTTCTTTTATTGAGAACTCATGGCAACAATAGAACGTTAAACGCAGATGAGAAAATGTAACTTACCGTGATGAACATCATGAACATAGATATGGCAGGAATCCACGACACTGTGCTTGCCGACAAGGTTCGCAGCTGGTGGGTTTGATAGTATGCCTGGAAAATGCCCACGCCTGCGCAATACATAATGAATAAGCCAAAGTATTTCAAAAGGAGATATGTGGCTCACAATTTGTCCAGCCGAAGCTCGTGAATAGTCCAAAGAACGCTCCGACTACTACGAGCCATGCACGGAGACCGCCGTCCGGGAAGTCATTCGACTTTGTCTGTGAAGGGCCTGTGTCCTGGCGTTCCTTCTCGTCGGTACCGTCTTGTGTGTCCATCCTGGCAGCGATGAAAGATTTCAATGGGTGGATTGAATGATTTGACAAGAAAATTGATATGATGTGGAATCAAAGACGAGGAACCTTGATCCGGATTCGTTTTGAGCTTGTAGTTGCGTCTGCTATTTATATTACTGCACTGAAGCTGCGAGTTATTGATTTACTTCTATATCAATCAGAGACTAGATCTAATCAAGTATAGTCTGTGGGGAAGGCGATGGATTCTAAGCAAGCTGATTGGATCGGAGGTCCGCGGTGGTCCGAGTGATTAGGGACATCAGCATATTGAGTCATCGATAACATCAATAACTATCCACGTCCTCCTCACAAGCAACTTTCCGTTCACTAAGAGCTTGTTTATGTACCTAGAGATGCACTCGCTTAAGCGGCCAATCCCTGACCAGGCTGTAGGGCCGACAAAACGAAGTGCTTGGCAACAGCCAGCGTCATGTGAGTTCTGCCGGCTTAAGAAGATCCGATGTGACAAGCAACGCCCTTGCTCTAGTTGCGTAGCTAGAGATACAACCTGTGAATATGTTTCATGTAAGCTGAGTTACAATGTTGCTTATGCTTGGAAGTTGACCCATGCAGTGGCAGGAGGGACCCTGCATCCAGCGGTCCAAACAGGTGTCAATGATAGTGCTCCGGCTACGTACATAGGCACTCCGTCGTTAGAAAGGTCTGCCCTCAATAACTACGTGATTTGACCAATTGCGCTAATTCTCACTCAGAGATATCCAGGAGGTAAAGGAGCGCTTGAAGAGGGTAGAACAACTGTTGCTGGAACGTCAGAGCCCACTCCAAGGCTCAAATCCGGGGGACGTAGATTCTTCGGTTATTACTCCCCAGCCTGAATCCAAGGCAGTATTGCGTAATGTTAACCACGAGGAGTGGGACAATCTGGAATCCATTGCAGCGTCCCCGCAGACTGAAGGATTGAAGGATTCGAAAACTGAAAACAAAAGTCTACAGAGCCAAGCACCCTCGGAAATAACGCAGGAGTGCGGTATAGATCGGCAGCTCCCTCCGGTTGACACAGCTAAGGCACTGCTTGAACACTACGTTCGAGGAGTAGACTATTTGGGTCGTGTAGTCCATGCCCCATCGGCACGCAGTCTCCTTGAAAGTGTATATTCTCAGCTGTCACAGTCAACCAGTCCTCCCGCCGAAAGTATCATATTCCTTCTAGCCATATTTGCTTCCGCGTCATTCTATCTAGAATGTGGGCAGCTCCATCTATCATCTGACGGGCTACACCTGCACGCAGGACAATCCCACCGTTGGAAAGAGACCACTCTTCAGCATATGTTGCAAATGGATCAGCTTTTCTCGTGCTCAATGATGTCATTGCAATCAGCTTTGATCATCCTAGTCCTTCTTTGGGATTCAGAAGGGCAATCAAAAAGATTTCATACTCTGAAAAGCCTCGCGTATGCGAAGGCAATTCAAATGGGGATGCATAATGTAGATGCAGGATCGTCAGACGTTGGGCAAGATCGCCTCGAACAGGAGATGAAGCGCCGTTTATGGTGGCACCTCACTTGTACAGATTGGTTAGTTATATGCATGTTTTCAGAAGCAGACTGAATCTTTATGACTAACCATACTACTCACATCTCAGGTTACTTGGAAGCGCACCCGGCCCACAGCAGGGTATTTACATGATCAGCCCTCACCATACGACGGTCAAGTATCCTGCGAATATCGAAGACGAAGATCTGACCGAAGAGGGTATTCATCGACACCCGAAACCCGACCGTCACCCAACATCGATGTCATTCTTCCTCTGTCGTCTCAAATTCGCCCAACTCTGTCGCGAATCCATGGACGCAATTCAACATGCAAAGACTACACAACCATCACAACTCATATACCCGCTCATACTGGAAATAAGCGACAAGTACATGTCTTTTCTCAGGGAGCTACCGTGGTTCTTCCGTCTTGAAGACGAAGAAGACGAGGCGAAACGTACAGACTTGACCAAGAAGCAGCCCTACATCTCGCATCAGCGCGCTGTGCTTCTCTATGGCATTTACTCACGCCTAGGTCGCCTCCACCGCCCGTTCGTCACCAAAGGTATCGCCGACCCTGGCTTTGCAGGTTCATACAATATCGGTATCGAGTGCGCGGAGAGACTCCTACGGATCCGTCGCATGGCGGCGGTCCACGGAAGTCAGCTGCTTGACATATTCGGCCGCTCGCAGAGTGTTGACCAGCATACTTTCAATGCTATGCTGCTGCTCACAATAGATGTGATGGCGCATCCGAACTCGCCTGATTCAGAGCGCCGCAGAGCGGACGTTATTGAGATATGCCACATCTTGCAAGATAAGCATGTAAGGTTGGGTCAGCCTGCGAATGGAATTAGTCGAGCCGTGCAAATGCTGTTGGATATCGTGCGGAATTCGAACAGGCCCCACATCAAGGACAAAGATCGTATTGACAGCACCGGTCAGGTTGGCTCAAATACTGCGCAAAGTATGGATAGTCTAGTGGTTCCGGATCAATGCACAATGGCATCGGAAGCATCGTATCAAACGGCGTGGATCGACGAGTTCCTTTCAATATCTGATGATCAAGATATGGACACCCTTTTCGATGAGCTCTGGGGATCTTACTCAGAGACGAGCATTCCATCTCGGGAGGGCTTCTTGAACCGGGAGGGGCTCTCCTAGTGGCTTTGATGGGGCACGTCGTCGTATAAGGGTATTAGTGTTATGTTAAGAGAGGACAAACTCGAGGCTACTTGAGATACAGGCATAATTGACTTGTACTCGCTCATCAGACCAAAGCGGCCAAAGTCTTCTTCACAGCGCCAAGAGCCCTGACCTACAGACCTGGTCCGTACAGGTGTCTTGACCCAAACCCACCAATAGCACCTCCAATCCTGCGCACATGAACCCTGCATAGGCCATATCATGGTCACAAGAAGCGAGATTCATGCAGGCCTGTGCATGAATATGTAGGACAGAATGACCCTAGTGACCAATCATATCACAGATACAGTAGCACAAGCATGCATGTCAACCTCAGCACAGGCCAGGAACTAATGCACGGTGTTGCAGGTTGATGGCTCTAAAAAGGACGCTAATGCACGGTGTTGCAGGACGATGGCTCTAAAATGTAGATCATCACGTGGTGTGTCCAATCATATCCATGGTTATCATCTACAATTGATCCACAGGATATCTGGGGGTGATTGGACTTGTCCGGGCCTGGATTTCTGATATT